ACCTACTTACTTGTAATGATAAAGAATATAAATTAGTCAAATTTCCTGCAACTGAAGAAATATCCATTATATTCAAAAACACGCGCCGCTCTTCCGTCGGCATCATGTGCTATTATTAATGTTCGTAGCACTTTTTGTGATATCACAGGATTCTTTTGTATCTCCAACATAACTTCTTCTGCTACTGTTAGTGTTATTGTTCGAGTTGTGGCACTTAGAGAGACACTTAGATTTGAATATGATTATTGTTATTAACACCAAAACTGGTGGAGTATTTCTGTGATCAAATTAACTATTGAAGTCTACAATGTTAATCCTCATTGTTTTAATTTTGTCAATCTAAATCCATTGTCGATAAATTGTAACATCTAAATTGCCTGGTAGACGGCACCTTAATACCTCAACAATGCAATCAAAACCACTGTGACGGACATAAAAGCTCCACACATAAGCACCTTTTACGATATTCGTGGCACATTTTTGGGTGATGTGTTATACCGCACTTTGGAAGTGTTCCACCGATTACTCCGTAAATTTGAATACTGAGAACATTTGATAAGATACTGTCTCGCCTGTCGGTGCTGCAGGGTGTATCGTAACAAAAGCAATTGCTCAACACCCTTAATTTGCGGGGAGACACAGTTCAGCTCTTCAAAGCGAAATGTGGTACTCTGTACTAATCTGTACCAATATTCAACGATCAACTAAAACGATCCTACTGGTTGTAATTACAGTTCGATACTATGATGGACCTTTCTATTTATCAATAGCGAATTGGCAATTCTGTGCAGGAAAAAAACTCATTGTGTTCTTAACCAAGTCCTGAAAGAAGTAACTTTTTTACTTTAGTAGTGTGTTCAAGGGAGACTAATATGTACTTTCTGAATAGAATAAACGTATTCACGCTATCATTCAGCTTGTTAGTGCCCTTCGCATTGATCAAGTAAACGCACTATCTATTCCCTTTATTTTAGCCTTCCAAAACGGGAAACAGACAGTCTGTTCTTGAAATTCTTTGGACATAAGTTAAAATACTTAAACATTATATACGTTAAACAACGGTGACCTGATTAATATTGAATTTTGCGATATGTGTCAACTAGTTTACTCGCTCAAGACTTACATATGAGACTCTCAGACTTCATAGCGGGATGAACTTGGTAAGATTGAACTTCTATAAAGTCAACGCATTACGCAATGTTATTCAATAATAAAGGAAATAGTTGTTATGTGCAAGAAGAATAAACACAGCTACCAGTTTAGAGTAGCTTGGTATGTTGCACATTTAGAAAGAGAAAACTGTGTATTGATATTGTTCTTATTGCACTCTTAAGGCCACTCTTAAGCGATATGTGCTGATAATTCGTTTCTAGTGAAACCGTCTAGTTAACTCGCGGATAGGTGAGAGTCACTAAATAAGTTGTCAATACTTCATTAAGGCCTATTTTGTAAACAGGTGTGACGATCGATCGGCGAAAAAAATCGAAAAAAAAAGAACATTATTCTCGTACGATCTACAAAACGGACGGTGTAGGGGTCCAGATATCGTAAATGTGGGTACATTTTTTTTAAATAAGGGAAACCAAAATTAAAATGCGCTTATTTGGTTTGCTCAGAGATAAATTGCAAACACACAAACATAGATATACATAAAAGAGCTTCTAAAATAGCTCCATCGTTTTCCAAAGGTCCAATAGTTGTTTTTATCTAAATTCATGCTTGTATAGCGAAGAGTAAGTTCATATATTTAAAATCGATTAAGTTTTGATATAGACTAAAATGGATTTACGTTAGAACGTGTTTAGATCGTTTTCTATTATTATTATTATCCGTAACATTATATCGTTTAAAAGGGATACACTTTGAAAGAAAGATTGGTATTTAATTTAATTAAATCTCTCTTTAATATTTTAGTACTTCAGATAGTAATGCTTTGTAGCATAATCGGATGGGGGAAAAATTATTTTCGGATTGTTAAATAACAATTAGCACATCGTCACATTTTTTACCTAACAAATGTGAAGCTTTGTCCAAATTTAGATGAGAATTTAATTTATTTGACGTCACTGTCCACGATTTTTCCTATCCCTCAACCAGTTCGTGTGCTTCTTGTTGCTAGAAATTTTCAGGCCTAGTATAGAAGAATTTGTTTAGCCAAGTTTCAAAATGCTTTTTACTGCGAAATGTAAGGTTACGAATTCGATTTGCCAGCTATTTGAAAAACCGATAATCTGTTGGATCAAGATCTAGAGAATACGTTGAAAGCAAAGCAACTTTTCCCACTCAAAATTTTTTAGGATAGTTCTCACAATATTTGCCATACAGGGTCTAGCACTATAGTGAAGGATGATACCGCCTCGCTCGTCGGGTCTTTGTCTGTTGGATAACTATACGGAAATCTTTGTCTTTTTGCCTTATTTTTCTCAAAAATTTTTTAGCGTATTTCTAGATTCGACGGTAATTTCTGACAAAAGTCTGGTACTCGTAGCTTATCTCCTCGACCGATTAACAAGTTGTTTGCCATTCGGGATTCTCATCGATCTCAAATGGCCGACTGGGGTGGTGTACACTTGCCGCATTTGGAGTTCTATCTTTAAGCTTAGCGTTGTAATTTTTCCGCCCAAACGTAAAAATATTTCCGTATAGCTAGTTTCTCTAATAATTTACTCTGTAAAAATATCTCATTAACTTTTAAATAAACGTTTCAAATTGCCAGTATAATACCCGAAATTCGAACTGAGCCTGAACTTACATAGTCAGATTAGACCCGAGGTACGTGTGTAGGGGAAACGAGGGTAGAAGTAAAGAAGGAAGGAATGCGATACTGAGGATAACCAAGAGGACATTACTTTTTTGTGAAAAATTAATTAAATATGCTTTATGGGCTTGCTTGCTTGCTTATCTAGGGTCCACAGTTATAGTTGATTAGATTTATTTCAGACATAACTGGGTCACTAATATGCAATTATCTCTTAATAGTTAAAGACAACGTATGACAACGGTTCAAAGTTTACGTTTTCTTGTACAGTCAGTAACGTGTAGAGTATTATCAACGTTTGATGTTAAATGTCAACCAAAAAGTTTAATAGAGCTTCTAGCTCTAGTGAAATGCAGAGTTGATAAATAAGTTACGGTGGTTTTTATGTACCACTTTTTTGCTTTTTCCATGTTGACTGATGGTCAAGACTAGAATTGCGTTGGAGACCTTTTTCTTGCAGTCTTAAAGTCGATATGTTTATCATTTTGCTCATATAACAAATGCCTCTGGAGCGTGGATGTACCGTTCTTAGAAACGTGGTAGTTCCAGTATTTCATCGTTTTGAAAACGTGCAACGACTTTTACTGGTCCTTCTAAAGTCGGTTTTTAGTCCGTTCTTTTGTGCTTTTTTAATCTTTAAAATGATCTCTTTCATTTAAATTAAAATTACTAAATTAAAATCTTCCCTTTAATGTTGTTTTTATTTTATGAAGCCTTCAAATTAATACGTCATTAAAAAAAGTGCTACACATTTACACTAGAACTCGAACTCCTTAAAACTATTTTTGTGAGATGGTCATCAAAAGAACGTGATAACAGATTTACAAACTAAAGCAAAGAGCCAACGAACAGGGTATCGCTCTTGTCTATCGTCAAACAGTACAATGAATGAAAGCTGTACATTAAAATCGTTGTTACTTTTATTCGAAGCTAGTAGGCCCGAGAATTAAGAACGTTACAAAAGCGAACAAAATTTAGACTTAAAAAGCGTAACCTGTATTGTTTATAATTCTAATTTACAAAGCATTTCAACTTATCCGTATTGAAAAAGTAAAGTATGATTATAATTGAATAAATTCTACTATTGCCAATACCCATTTGTCTCTTGGTAACTATTATATTATATATAACTTTTGTTTTGCTTTTGTTTGTTTGAGCCTTAAATTATATTTAATATGCCATTTGAATTGATCATGCCGCGAGTAGTGTTTTCGTTTTAGAATGTAATCTAGATAATTTTACCATAGTAGGCCTGCAGATGACTTTTTGCTGCTAGAAAAGCGATTGCAAAAGTTAAAGTTATTAGTTTATATGTGTATATAATACAACAAATCTTATATGTGTTCCGCAACTGTGCCATCGTCATAAATGACTTCAAATGTACATCATGGATTGTTGGATAGTTCATTGGAAAAAGGTGTAAAAGGACAGCAAATTTAACATTACAAAATAGACTATATGTGCAGAATATTTTAACGTGAATATACCTGTCAGTCCTCTAAGCGTATGGCATGAACTAGATATGTTCCAGTCCTATATTTTTGCGTCAACAGTAAAAAAATATTCTTTTCTATGTGCAAACAAAGTTTTTAAAACTTTCTTTGCACATATTTGTATGCGGTGTACACCTAATTCAATTCGAGAAAATAGTCAATAAGATGCACTACAGTATAAGAAAGACAGTTAATTTAATGATAGAATCACATACGCCAGCTATTAGAAGACGAGAGTAAATCTGGGACGTTTCTTAGTTATTTCTTCTCATACCGCGCTTAACAAAAAAAAAATTGACTTCAATAAACATTGTTGCATGTGTTGAAAGCGTCATTCTTGATGGTCACATAACTTCAATATAACCTCGTGGCGGCTTCAGAGTAGTCCGAAAATGATGTTTTAACCATCCGTCCAACAATATTAGTAAATATAGATTCCTTCAGGTGTCGTGCAGAAACTCCAACGGAATTAATTTTTCGGCTTACACTAAGCTCCGTTCAAAAAGGCCAAAACTGTAGAAATTCAGGGTTTGCAAGACCATTCAGTTAAAAATAGGTATTTTCCTCTAGATAGTATCTGTATAAAAATGTTCAGAATTGTCAGCAGTACTTTTTATCGCCATTTCGATGAATTTCGAGTCATTCAAATCTAAGCCCAACATGAGAGAAACTTTTTCCCTGGACTTTTTGGAAGCTGCATAGAGACTGATAATAACATAGACCCTTAATTCAGACAAAAGAGACGTTCACCATTTTATCGGAGGTTTATTTCGCGCGAGAGATTGAATAATAGCTGATCTTTGCCCTAGCTCCGATAGCGACGCACCATTTTCAATGAAGATGAGTTTATGGTTTGTGCTAGTAAGAATTGGCTTTTTTAGTGCCAAATATAGCGGATGAGCGGATACCTTCTATGACAAACAACCCAGCATAGTTTGGACAGGACACCCTAAATGTGCATTTTCTACGAAATTGATCAACGTGACACAATACATGCAAAACAACAAAAAAGGTAAAATGTCGAACAGTAAAATCTCATCATTCAATTGTATAATTGCAAGTCTATACAACACATACTTCTAATTTAGTAAATTTTGACTTTTTTGGCTACAGCGCTTTTGCTCAAGATCACATGTAACTGATGATCATTATGCTCTTCAATGGCAGCCGAAAACACAAGCCGAGTGTAAAATAAACTTCCATTATATATCTATTTGGTATGTACAGTCATTTCGCTATTTACATTATGTTTACATATTGAATAAAAAAATGTAACATTCTTCAGCACATCAATCTCTCTGTTACATAAGCAGGTCCGTCTAAACGTACTCCATAATATTTCCGCCTTCTTTAATTTTTGCACACCCAGAAACACTGCTTTCTAAATAAGTACCCAAACTGGTAAAGAAAAGCTGATCCCCCTCCCCTTGAACTGCAGTTATTTAGTGGAAACCTCGGGTACCATCCGGTCCACGGGGCTGTCGAATGAGGTAACTAGTATTGGGGATCTCGTCAATAGTGAACCTTCTAGGTCGAACTTCTAATTGCATGCTATTCTTTGGACAAGGTGCCTCATTTTTCGATTTAACGATCCTGGACTCCTTTTGCTCAGCTTTTTTGGATTGGTACGAAAGACTTTGGCAGAACGACTTTACCCTCGGCTTAATTTCTACTGGTTGTGAGCGGTCACGCCATGACAGCAAAGTATTCACTTGGGTTGAAGCGTGCTCTTTGGATCGAACCGAAAATCGTTTAGACACTTCAGAGTCTGAAAATATGCGTTTCTCTCGGTTTACGATTTTTTCGTTAGCCCTCTTGGTTATCGGCTTCAAACAGTCTTTTAGCAAAACAATTTGGAACCCAGGGACTACGACCGAAAGCGCTTCGGTCGCAGATTCACTTTTTTCAAACTCGATTACAGCGCAAGAGAGCTGGCGATGTTTGGGATAGCGCGCGAAGATTTTCCGCGTGGTATCATCGATCGGTTCTCCGGGCGAAACAATCCTAACATTCTGCATTGGACCACAGCTACGGAAAATATCTTCCAGCAATCGTTCTTCCAGAAATTGTAAGCTTTGCTGTTTAGCCCAGATGATGATACTTCTAGCAGGTTTCGTCCCATCCTCCTCCAGAGCTGCAAAACGAGGTCGTACTTTACATCCATCCTCATTGACTTCGAGCAATTCTGATGTGCGTAATGCCTCGGCTACGATACGCCAATCGTAACCTTTGCAGAGACTTTTTACCTTTCGAAAAGATGACATAAGTTTAAGTGACAGCCATCCCTCTTTCGATTTGGTGACGTGTTTGAGTAAGAACTGGTCTTTGTAGACCACTTCATCTGAAAGGTAAAATTCTATTTGTTGCCGGATCCTTAGTAATTGCTCGGGACCCCGCGGAAGTACATCCATATCTTCAGAGCTGTCAAGGACCGAGCCCTTTCCGGAACTTGAGTTCAGCAACGTTTCTTCACACTTCACCATCCTGCTTTAATCTTCAGTTGCTCAGGTAAGCAGCAGGTGCAGCAGGAAATTTTAAATGACAACTAGATCGATAAACGGCTTTGACACTTCGTATGTCTGCGCAGTTAAAAAGACATACTGATTTCGCTATCATGTGCTCAGCCTTATAGCGCTGCGAGGTGGTGGCGGTGAGAGGTCGGCTAAATACGAGAGAAAGAAGGTTCCACTGTGACGTGATGTTTTCGTGCCAAACATGCCGAGCGCCAGTCGAGACTAGCAAAATAGATCACTGCGTCAAAGGCCATTGGCAAGCTACTGACTGTCATCCGCAACGAGTACAGGCCACGTTAGCAATTCTAGCGGGTATAAATCGTCAAGGCAGATCAGTTTCCAGCCTCCGCAAGTATACTAGACGTTTATTTGTCTACACGTGTTTCTGTGCAGATGTTATTATCAAGATTAAACATTGAAAAATATCATGCTATGAAATGCATTATGCTTTGTCATATATATATTGACAAGAGGACAGAGGAGTCTTGAAGAGAAGATGGCCCACAGAATACTATGAACGGACTTATGATTTTGTTGCGCCTTTAGATCCTATATCGTTGAAAGACAAGAATATGGTATCGGTATAATTACAGATATATTGTTAACGTTTACGCGCATAAAATTACCCTGTATGTTAATAAATAAGCCGCTTAGTAATCAAGATAGTCAAACCATACCATTAATTATATCAATTACTTGTACCCTATGGCTCAACACTGCTACCGTGCACACAGTAGATATTAAATGACCTTTATTTCGATTGTTTAACTTGAATATCCTCAAAAAGACATTTCAAATGTCTATGCAGTTATGCGTTCTGTTGATTAGAGTTACAGTAAACATAAAAAAATATTTTCTTTATGTTTACTGTAACTCAATATTACTTAAAGAAGATCCATCTCAGCAATTCTATTTTAAGCATTTACCGAAAACGGTCGTGCTTACGGATGATGTTGTTCCAATACAACAACGATACTAATAAAGCCGGATCGCTAATATAGCTAGGATCAGCTACAGTTACGTAATTTTTACAACACTAACTTTAAGTAACTGTATCTATTACTCGAACGTGAGCGGAAAATTTAAATTCTAGATAAGATATTAATTTTCTACCTTTAGCGACAATTTGATTTCGCTGATATATGGAAATTTTGTATAGCACGCATGTGTTCATAGGCTTTGTGGACACATTTGCATCCTTTTGACAAATTTCTTTATCATGGCAGGTTGTGCTTGTAGCTGCGAGTCATACAGCGTCTACTCTCCGTCTTCAAAATCCTGGGCCAAGTTTTTGACTTCAAAGAACCGGAGGAAGATCTAGAATCGCTGAATTTAAAGATCTAGGTGGGCAAGTCGACTCGTTCAAGGGGAAAACGGCTAGAGATGGTGCAACATAACTATAGTTTCACATGATGTGTCACAAATAGAAATAGCGTACAAGTACTACGTGTCTTTGCGACAAACAGCATCGAGGCAGGGATTAAAGAACTAGGTTGACATGCCTCGATACTGCTTAACACTATTTGCGCTTTTCCAGCACAAAGTAGTAGTGGTAAACAGTAATGCCTGCAGCCCAAAATACGACCCAAACAGTGATATGCTTAAGATGCATTTGCTGGTCATGAAACGCATATGAGTTTTCGTCATTTCAAATGTGATAATTTTGCTCTATTTACGCAATAATCAACATAAGTACCATCGCTGAAGATGGTTTTCCTATGAATTCAGCCGTCCACTTTTTGTTTTGATTCGACACTTCGTGCAGTTGATGATCTTCCCTCGCTATGCATGGCCTGTATATTTGAGTCAGTTGGATCTTTAAGAAATGAAAATGCTAATCTTCCTGGACGAGACACTGCGTAGTGCTTACGTCTTCTTCTTCACGAGCACGCTACTGAATTAATGTTTCAGGGCTTGCAGCCACAGTCTAGCGAAAAGCGTGATTAGTTCTTAATTGAGCGAACTGGACATTGGGAATCGGCCTGGTCTTCTTAACTTTCTTTTTCAATTATTTCTTTCGAAGTTAATGCATATAAGAACATTTTGGACACAATATGTGAAATGATATTAAACAATAGTAATTTCTTGTTGTGTTGAATAGCAATCAGTGTCCAATAGTGAGGGACAGTCTATCATAATAAATGGTTGAATTGGCTAAAAGTTTAACGGCAGAAATTGCGCAAAGCTTTTGTTGAGCTGTTGTTGTTGTCTGCCCTGCTTGAGACCCTCTATTATAGAGGGTTAACTAATAACTAATACAGTTGCACTTTTTTAGAAGAAGGTACACTTTAAATGTGTATTTTTTTTCTTGGAGTCTAAAACAACACTAGCTACACAAAGCATAGCAAAATTATTTATTGGTGATCTCTTACGTATGGGTGAACAACGTGTAGTCTTAATTTTATGAATAATTAAGGCCGATAATTCAGCTACTGCAGAGTAAAGGTACGGATGATTAAACGAAGAGGTTTTACGTAAACACAAGGTATAATCATTCATTTTCAATGCAAAATCCAGCTCGTAGAGTTTGTTAAATACGGTTTCAAAATGACTGCAGCCAAAATGAACTATCATTATCTTACGAAACTAGAACTAGTGAGCCTGATGAACCAGAAAAAGATGAAACGATGTCGATTTTTCCAGTGGTCGACGTTTGTGGCCGTTTCTTACCGAACCCCAGTAAAACTAATGAGACTACCTGTCGTAGTTCCTCATGTAACGCCTGTATTTCTGACAAGCCTCTGCGTCGTAAATCTGCGTACTTATCGCAGCCTATTTTACTGTCTGCGCAGGTATATTTATTAGTCATTATGCCCTCGGTGATGGCGAAACGGTTATACAGTTGCCTATTTATTTAGCAGCATTTAAGCCCGAGGTAACTGCGATATCTAGGTCAAAGTCTTGACACACCCCAAGACGGATCCTCTCCTGCAGCTGTGGAATAAAAAGCAGCTTATGACAAAATGTGTACTTATTGAAGCTAATAAATTCAAAATAGACTAATTTTTCGAATACGTTTATCAGTTTTTTAGTGGCTACTCCAATGTACAATTTTTTTAAGTGTCTTACCAAAGGCGGCTAGCAAATATACGTAAACACAACAAAACCAAGATGCCTTGGACAGTTTTTGGCTGGAAATGCTATATAGTTTTAGCTTAAACACCTGTGGCCTGTAGTCTGTGGCCGAGTTTGCTATGTGCCAGTCATATATACGTGTCCATGTTGGCGTCTACAAGGTACTCAACTCAAAGCAGTCATTTTGGATAAGCGCGGGTCTATGTAGATGAAGTCAGCGACCCGACTACTATGGCAGCACGACAATCTTTGCTACCAACTAAAAGCTTAATAACAATTGGCCAGCGAGTCAGTACGTTTGAATCAGGATCATTCATTTTATGTACGCCAGAGAGTGCGTAGCCCAATGTAATACGAAACTACCTCGTCTGGAATTCTCGGCCTTTTAGCAGACAATAATACGAATACATTTTACATTGCACACGCGACTCGCAGCTGAGCTTTCTAAAATGATTCTTTAGATAAGGCATGAAATGTTGACTCTTTCCCTTTACTCAACGCTCAGCTCGATAACCTCGGAAATCTCAAAACATTAAGATTCTCTCTCCTTTGTCCTTTCTTTCTTCTTACAAATTGATGGCAACCTCTGTGGCGATGTCTAATAGTGTTATTTATTTCGGGGTCAGTGGTGTCTCATCAAGAGTTGTGCACTATTTGTTCAGGTTTTGTGCCATTCAAGCCAACCTGTTCTTTCATAACAAAATTATATACTATAAGCACGGTTGTGATCGACAATCTTTTTTCAATTCTTTGTTAACGTCATAATATCTTCACCACGAAGTTTCTGTAACTTCTGTACTAAAAAAAAATGTTTGCATCTCTCCATTGAAACTACATTAACGCCATTGTAGGAGTTCAGCAACAGTTCCGAAACAGAAGAGAACGAATGCATTAAAACTAACCATCAAATTTTGTTCAATTTTGTTTGATAGTTAAAGATGTACGTGCTTTGGCATTGAAGACGATGCCTCTTTCTAGTTTCGGGCTTGTTGCAGCCTCGCTGCTCAGCCTTGCCACAATATCTGAAACATATTTTCTTATTATTGTCGTATGTGATCCACTCTTAATCATTCGTAATTAACAGCTTTAAAAAGTAACTCCGTTTCATTGTGTTTCTCTAAAGTCATAAGTGAATTCAGCTAAGTAATAAGTGAACATTGAGCTTTTTTTGTAGCCAACCTTCTTCGAATGCTTGCTTTAAAATTGCTTGGTATATTTTTCTTGATGATATTATGGCTACTCACGGTCCGATGTATTTCAACTTGTATTTTTTTAAAAAATTTTTCCTTTAATTGATTATGTATATAGGCCGTTCTTCCAACAACACATCTTGACCATAGACAGCCCAGATTTTTTGTATATTTGGGCAGCATTCGTTCCTCTATATATATAAAATAGTAAAATACAGCCATATATTGCGGACCTTTCACCTATCTTTAACGCGCACTATCTTGAGTCTAAATTTTTTTTTTTATTAACTACTCAGTTTGGCTAGCAAATAACTGACGCTAATGCTGATCCGACGCGACTAACATTACTTGAGATATGTGTCTTTAAAACTATGCAGTTAGAAAAATGACCAATACTTTTTCGACAACCCAATGTTGAGCATTGAATAACTTTTGAACTTTACACAGCTAGCAATTCAGCTGATAAATATCCATCCCTTTTAGAACTCTGTGAGTACAAATCTTAGTTTACTCCGGGAGAAGTTAGTTAAAAGGAAAAAAATCTTTCAGTCTCGAATGTCAACGCTTAAGGGTCTAGTTTTTGGTCCTCGAAGGCCACAGTGGTGTGGAAATCTGGCGAAAATTGAATAAGGACCCTTTAAACGAAGACACATTATTTAAATAGATAAACGTTTCAGGGTGTTCCACGTTAGCGAAGACATGACTCAATGTCGGATTCTCAAAAATAGGAATGCATTGCCGCGATCGAGAAGACTCTTCATTTAAAGGGAGAACGCGTCTGCTAAAACTGG